TTTCTAAGGTAGATGAATGTTGAATGCCTTATGTTCTTGATAGAGCATCATCAAGCCCATCATGTACGAGTGGGAGATGTTATATTTCGTCGGTCCGCCCATGATGTGTGTGTCTAAAGGACACCATTTGCTCTAATAAGAGGTATGTCTGAGAGACGCCTTTTGAAGAGGTGCGAGGAGAGTTTCTTAATGGAAGTTACGATAACTTCCTCAGTAAGATGATGAACAATTTACAAGAGAACTTCAGAACTCTCTCTCTCTCTCGACGTATAAGGATTCCGTATCTATTCTTAGAAGACAATCGGCATTAACGCTGTGGAACAAGAATACTTTCCCTGTGATTGTATTCGGACCAACGTAAAGTAGATTCGTTCATCGTTTGCTAGTGATTCGACGTGTGATCCTGGAAATTGTGTTTGGAGCGCATCGAACAGGTTAGTCGATTCTCCCGACACTCGCATCCAACAATCTGAGTTGACAGAGAGTGTTGCCTCTTGTTTGACTGATATAAAGGAAGTCCGGAGCTGCGGTAGCCACCTTTCGGAGCAATCCCATAGAACGCCATCTCTTTTGCTAGAACAACATAGAAATATGCAGTCGAATCAGTCCAGTGGATGTGAGTCTAAACAAGAACCTGTGGAGGAGATTGAAGAACTGGAAGAAGAATTAGAAGCCGAGTTGGAGCGCTTGCAGCTTCAGTTGGATGCTGAAACTTCTTCCAAGCAATCTTATCAGGAAATGATAAAGATAAGGTTCTGTATCTTCTGATTTCTGTGTGATTCCCTAATGTAGGGTCCAAAGAACACTAGGTTTCCTTGATGCTTGCCTATGCATGGAATTGGTTGCAGAATTTTGTGTACTCACTGTCAAAACAATGATAGTGTTTCAGTTGTTCTGGATGTCTTGGAAATGTAAACCACCCTCAATTGAAGTTTCCTTCAGTTGTTCCGTGGAAGGCTGGCATAAGAGCAATCATTTAGATCAATTCCATTTGTGCATGCATTAGTGTTTAACATATGCTGCAGGAGAGTCTCAACATCTGAAGGTTTTAAACGGGGAAAAGTTTTGTGCTTCAGTTTATTCTAATTCTGCTTGTTTCACATTTTGTCCCTTTATATTGTCAGATTGAACTCCCCATGTTTATTCTAATTCTGCATGTTTGACGGTTTGTCCCTTTATTTGGTCCCTTTATTCTAATTCTGCTGATCTGTAAACTAATTTATTGTAATTTTATCTTGCTTAAATAGATGGTCTTGTAGGAAATGCTCTTTATATAGATCAAGAGAGATTTAATAGCAAAAAAGATATATACACGCATGCGCGCGCACGTACATGCTATTTTCTAAATTATGTTTTTCGATTTTTCAGCTATTCATATTGCGAGTGTTTTGACAAAAAAAAAAAATTCAATGTGAGTTTATGTTAAGCGAATTTGATATTAGCAAGAAAGGCTACATAAATTGTAAATATGTATTTATTATACAACACATATCTTATATTATCTTTTCATTATTCAATTTGCTCAGTGTTTTTATTAAGTAAAATCTTTTGTAGGGTGTAACTTATACACTTAACGCAATAAGCTATAATTCAAATTATACTCAATTTAGGATAATAATCCATTAAAAGTCATTGCATACCATGCGATTTGCTTTCATAATTTTTCATTGTGATGGGAAATCTTTTGCAAAATCACTTTGGATGGCAAGTTAGGAAATCCACAAAAATCGCTGGAGGTGAAGTAGTAATTCTCTCGAAATGCGGAGTCCGAACTCCGAAGCAATGTTGCAATAGAAGAGTAACCATGAAGAAATAACAAGAAGTTCCTAACTCAAGTTGCACGCAAAAGGAACTAATTTAATCAATTAAAAAATCGTTCCTCGATGACTTTTACAATTCCAAAGACAAATGTTCCACCTAGAAGCATGTGGCGCACAATTTGTAACTACCATAACTTTGAAAAGACTTTTTTTTTAAGGCAAACTTTGAAAAGACTTCATTACTTCTTTATTGTAGAAAAGCAAGTGTTATTATTAGTCAAGGGACGAGACTTTGTGCGCAAATTAGGTGCACGGTACATATATGACTGTTTACACCATCACATTTAATAAATGTTAAATCATCTAATCGGATTTTGAATTCTAGACTGCATGATTCATGAGGTTTGCTGGTCTGGGTAGTAAAAATGTGATTGACAACAATGCGTTTTCAATGTGATTCGTGAAAATAATTCGTTATGATCCAATATTGAAACGATAGTATCTTCCCAAGTAACTAAAAAAGTCAATGATTAACTTAAAGTGAGCGAAACATTCGTACTTTCAAATAGCTGACGCAAAATATTTTTATCATCAATAATAATTTATGTTATAAATATTTCGTGGATGATGAAAATATTTTTCGTGCATTCACTTTTGTGGGCGATGCAGACGATCATTTTTTTGGATAAATAAATTTTAAAATTATTTATTTTTCGCGAAATAAACGGAAGCTTAAATGAAATTTTGGATTTTCTTTCTATTTTCCAACTTCGTTAGAATGTGAATCACATCATCGATCCGGTACAGTGTTTCGATTTAATTATTTCTCTTTTATTGAAAAGTGAATTCCACTATAAAAAATCAAATATATTTTTAATTTAATTAATTCTTGTGGAGCCACTCTTTTTCGGCCTTTTTCTTTCATCCTTATCCTCCTTTTTTCCTGTCCGCCACCCACCGCGCCACTCACTTTTCTTGCCCTCATGACCCGAGAAAATATTAGGTGAGTCACTCCACGTAAGCTATACAACACATCATTCGGCTGATGACACGTGGCGGACAGGGCCCACCGGTCAGATTTTGGAGTCCCCCCTCGTTACGAGAACTTTCAGATCTTCTCTCTCCTTTGTTACTCTCTTTCTTCTTTCACTGTTTTCTTCCGTTTCTTTTGGCGTTTCGAGACCATGGACGACGCTCGCGCTTGAATTGCAGTGTCACCAGCCAACCATTGACGACCGCTCACGAGCACGCCGACGCTCATCCATGGCCGTTGTCGGCGTCGTTCGGGCATGCTATTGACCCCCTTGGGTATCCATCTTTCCCATCCACCATGGACGACGCTCGCGGCCAGCCATGGACGACGCTCATCCATGTCCATGGTCGTCGTTGGCATCGAACAACGCCGGACGGGACGGCTCGATCTGGAAGTTTGGCCAGATCTGGAGCCATGGCCGCTCGTTGCTCGCGGCCACAATGCAGAGATTATGGCCCCAAAAATAAAAGAAGAAACAAAAATTAAGCTCTGCTTCTGCATTGCGGGTCCATAATGGCGGTGGTGTGCTTCTGGTATGTGTACCGGAAGAAGAAGAAGATGGTGAAAAGTGGGTGAGACGGAGAGGTTAACGGCGGGGAGATAATGTGCAGGGAGAGAAGTAACGGAGAAGAGAGAGAGACAAATGGGAGAGAGTAAAGGTTTCTAGCGGGACCCACCTTGCCACGTGGCATTTATTGGATGGAGTGTTATACCACCTCACGTGGCATATTCAACTCACCTAATATTTTCTCGTTTGCAAAGAGCAAGGAAAAAAGAGAATCGGGAAAAAAAATATCATAACTGTCGAAGATATAAAATTTAAATCAAGATGCAGATTTATCAGTTGAGTTGATGCTAAAATCACTCATTTGCCAAAGATTGTGTTAAATAATTTTCCAGGGGTCAATACCAAAGAAAAATCTGTATCTACCCATCTTGAGAATAATGGCAGTTCCATGGAAGCCGAAGTGATAGCTCCCAAGACACAACTGAAACGTGCGAAACAAGATATGACAAAACTCAAAAAAGTAAATTTCGAATTGAAGATAATGTTGGTTGTGTCCTGGGCGTTTACTGTTAGTGTGATTTTAGTGATTTTAGCACACATTTGTGGAAAGCTTAAGGGGAAGGGTGTGCTGAGTTTTCCATAGACTGTGTTTTTTTTTTTGCTAGATTCCATAGACTGTGTTAGTAGACATTGTTTGTGTAAAGCCATGTATGAGTTGTAATACTTTTTTGTGCACGTTTTGTAATCGTGGACATGCTTGGCAGAAATGAAATTCCATGAGAACAATGCAATGATCGGATTTTGCACGAATTATTTCCATGCGGACATTTTTACATTTGCAATGGTCAACTTTTGCTCATATCACTTCCTTGCGTACATTTTTTTTCATAGGAGATTTGCTAGCCTATGGACTTCTATTTTTGTGCCCATAGTCTTAGAAGTAAATCGATTATTTACTTAGTATGTTATTGATAAATAGCCGTTGCTACTTGTCAAATCGAAACAAATGTCAATAGTCTATGGATATAGTGGTTTTTATAAGTTACAAACAACCATCAAATGGCAACATTAGTAGAGTATTGCGCAACTAGTAATCTATTAGCGAAAATACGTGCCCATTTGTAAAAAAGAACAATTATCGTAATCTACAAGGGTATTTCAACTTGGTAAATAAATTAATTCCTTAGTATGTTATAGATACACGTTACTCATCAAATTTCGAAACAATGATAATAATGTATTAGGAATTTACCGTGTGAAAATAATTATTCATATCGTAATTTATAACTATTAACTGGTATTATCAGTAAAGTAGGTAAGCAATTCGTGATTTTGTAGCAAAAAAAAGGGTCTACTTGGAAAATTTAAAAACAATTGGTAATCTAATAATGGATTTAAGAAAGTTAAAATTATTATTTCTTTGTTATCTTGCAAACAATAGACTGGACCAATAAATTATTTTTTCTAGATTCATCAACTATTTTTTTTTTATCATTTATCAACTTTCTAATTTACCAACTCTTATATAAATTTACCAATCTTTATTTGTGTGACTTACCAGCATTTTTCTTATTAGACTACCAACAAACTTCGTTTTACTAGCTTTCATTTGAGTTGCTCACGATTGTGTAATTTATCAACTTTTTTATTGAATTACCAGCTTCTATTTCTTTTCTACCAACATTTTAAATAAACAACTCTTTTAAGAAATATCAACCTTAGACTTTTAAAGCTCTGGCTCTTCAAGAGCGGAGTGAAAACTCTTCTAGGTTTTCAAGGGATTTGAACTCTTCTAGGTTTTTAACTCTTCAAGGTTCAAAGGAATTAATCAATCGAATGTATGGCAACCACTCAACCAGCATGCAAATAAAGCACCCGGGGGTCCCCCAAAGAAACGTGTATTTTATTAACATGATTAAGGCGCATGCACAATAAGTCAATAGACACAATTTGCATGAATGCGGTAGAATTGGGACACTCTATCTCAGCCATTAGATCATAATAATCTCATATGGGGCTCATAAGGTCGTTTTTCTCGTGTGATTGGGGGGTATGCAACCATTATAAAACAATGAAAAAGGATATGAAAACCATTGAGAGTTTCGCAGCGGAAACACCATGGGAATGGGAGAAGGCGAGCAGCAGGCCATTGATGAGCTGATTGCTTCACTTCCCCAAGAGAAAGTTCCAAGCCTTCCTCCTTGTTGCCTTTTCCAAAACTTTTGGTGCCCGACGTTCTTGCTTCCTAATGTGGTCGCGTTCCAGAGGCACTTCAAGGCCAAAGACAAGGACCTTGTTGTTGCCTCTGACCTCAAATCGGGGACCACCTGGCTAATGGCCATAGCATTCTCCATTGTCAAACGCTCCCGCTTCGACGTCTCAAACACACCCTTGCTCACTTCAAGCCCCCATGAACTCATCCCTCGCTTCGAGCTTGACTTGTTCGTGAATAACCCAAGATTCGATCTTGATGACATGGAGGAACCGAGGCTCCTCTCTACGCACCTCCCTTATTCAAGCTTGCCGGAGTGTGTCATGCGGTCGGACTGCCGGATCATTTACATCTGCCGGAACCCGTTGGACATCGTGGTTTCCTCTTGGCACTTCTTCCTCCAGTTGGAGCAATCGGAGGAGTGGTCGGAGGGGTCCTTGTCCTTGGAAGAGCATTTCGAGATCTATTGCCAAGGGAAAATACCATTCGGGTCCTTTTGGGATCACATGGTGGGGTATTGGAAGGAGAGCTTGGAGAGGCCACACAAGGTGTTGTTTCTCAAGTATGAGGACTTGAAGGAAGATATCGTAGGACACTTGAAGAAGGTAGCCGAGTTTGTGGGTCTTCCCTTCACTGAGGAGGAAGAGGAGGGAGGTGTGATTGAAGAGATAGCCAAAATGTGTAGCTTCAAGACCCTCAAGGACCTAGAGGTCAACAAATCCGGCAAATTACCTGGTAAAACCATTGAGAAGAGAAGCTTTTTTAGGAAAGGTGAGGTGGGTGATTGGGTTAACCATCTCACTCCTTCCATGGTGGATCGCCTAAATAGCATCATGCAAGAGAATTTGAGCCCCTTGGGGTTGGAGTTCAAATGATGTTGAGTGTTAATTACTTGCAGTTGTGTTATGTGCATCACTATAAATATATTAAAATTAGATGGATTTGCAGTCCTCCTTTTTGGTGTACTATAGAGACCAAAGAAGTATCTGATATTGTAAACTACTACAATCCCACGCTTTATGTTAGTGAACGAGATTGCAGTCTGCTGTGTAGCTCATCCAGTAGCACACTGAAACAAAGTCTGAACATCATCAATAGAATTACGAAACACTTAGACTACTCCCGCAAACAATAACTGGCACCCTGTTACTACAACCCTATGAGATACAAAGTTCGAGATTAATTGATCTAACCAGCAACATGAGTGACAGATAATCCACTTACTGGTATCCATATTTTTTTCTTTGTTTTTGAATATGATGGTTCTTTGAGAACTGAATAGGAATTTTGAAATTTGGGGATGAGAGAGACAACACTAAACTATCTTACTGCTACACCAAGGCGATGTAAAGAACCAACAGTTCAGACTCATTGAGCACATCACTCTCCACTCGTGCTAAGTCAAACTTGGGCATTCCCTAACCACAAACACGAAATCGGTCGAACCGTAAGTATTGAGCAGAAATACCCATGCAGGTCTAAAATTGCTCAAGCCCTCCCAGCACAACAGGCAACATTGGAGTCAGTCCCATCCGGCTTATTAAGTTGCCAATTAAGGCAAATGATCCGGTTTAACTGTGTAATATCAATCCCCATAATGGAAAATCATATCATGAAACCCAATTCATTATTTTCCTGCCTCAACTTTGAGTAGTCTACTCTCAATTTTGTCCCGACATGGTTCATGTTGGACATAAATGATTATGATCCAAACTGAACGTCGCAAAATCATGAAAAGCAACCTATCGAATCAATTTTCAATTTCATGCGAATTCCCTAATCTGAAAGTGGATGGCCTGGTTTGACCATTTGTGAGATGTGGACTTACTTTGATGTATGAAAGGTAGCTCGCGATATGGTAATTCTATAATGTTGTTTTTTTAAGTAAAATTGTGCGACCACTAACCTGAACGACAAGTACATCAATGGTAATTTGCTAACGATGAAAACAACTTACGAACATCATGTGTGATAAATTATAGATTTTTTTAAAGAAATTTATTGCTCGAAACGGAACTCCGAGGTAAAATAATAACTTACCGGTGAAATTAAAATCTTAATACCGTAGATCCACTTACAAGGTTGTCAGTTGTCAGTTACAAGAGGGGTAAGAATTGTAAGAATTTTGAAGAAATTTACTGTTAAAAAAAATATTTGCTGGTGTAAGCAGTAACTTGCAATAAAATTTATTAACTTACCGATATAGGTCCGTCTATAAGTTAATTAGTTACCAACAACGCAAGGAATTTGTCATTTCAAAATAACATCGAATTTAGTACTCTACTAATGAAATAAGCAACTTACTACCCGTTTTACTGTAGCAAGTTGCGAACAATTTGAGGTATTTACTGACACCAAATTAAACAGTGAATTATTAAACTTTCAAGAAATCTAACATTAAAAGTAGAACCCTACCACTGAAGTTAGTAAGGTAACAGACAAATTAGTAACTCAACATGCTAGTGTATGCTTGCTCTTTGGATGGTAGGTTACTGACCAAGTAAGGAAACTACTAACGTCTAAATTTTGAGTCAATAATAAGTTAATAGACTGTTTACAAATTTGCCATTCTAATTAAATCTTACAGCTAAGGTTAGTAACTCACCAATCGAATTAGTGACTTCCCAATAAAACATGCTTGCTTTTTGGGAAGTAACTTACCAACAAAGTAAGGAAATTACCAATGTCTAATGTAAGACCAAGATATCAAGCTAATTATTTTTTGGGTCATTGCAAACGAGATATTACTAGTGAAATAGTTATATACAAACGACTAGTCAACTAGCTTAACACTACTGGTGATACTAAATACCAGTTCATAACACATTGTCACACCCCGAATCCTACAGGAATAAGGGTAGTGACAAGATTCGGGGTGTGAAATGTCAATCCTTTTCTTCACCTAAAAGACACAGCCACAAACCATATAAAAAAAAATCCAACATCAATGGTCCAGTCCATTAATCAATCTCAACTACTCACATAATTATGGTATATTCCATCAATTAATCTCATCAAACCACACGTCAATGGTTCATTCCATCGATTGATCTAAAATCACATGTCAATGGTCTAACCCATTGACTAAACTCAGATCATGTGTCAATGGTCCACTCCATTGACTAAACTCATGCTCAAATATCTAACAATGATCATGCATGACACTCCGCGACAAGGCAACCGAGATTCCCCCTTAGCTAAGTCTCCACCTACATTGCCGGTGGCTTGGCCCATAAGGATATCCTAAACTAGTATGTGTACACTCACAAGCCCCTCAATGGGCTCATAGCGATATTGAGCACCAAGACAAACTCAAAACAACATGCTTCACAATTCACAAGCCAGTTTGGTATCAAATCACAAAACGGTTTCACAAACCAAACATATAATCTTTCTCAACCCGTTCATCAAACAGAATACATTTCACAGGGCGTTTCTCAAACCATTTCGGAATCCATTTCATAAACCAGGTTCACAATTCCATATATATATATATATATATATATATATATATATATAAAACATTTCGTAACATATTTCCTAAAACATTTGTCAAACCGTTCACAAATACCAAATCATAGTAAACTCACAAATACCAAATCATAGTAAACTCCCAAGCCAGATTTTATTGTAACAAACATGCTTATTCATAACTCATAATATATCAAATCTTTATCACTTTCAATACATGAGTTTACAAATTTATAGAAGAAATAGCACGACTCACCTGGGGAAGCCGAAAACTAACTTATGGTGGTTACTCGAGCCGACGCACTCGAATTTCTAACAATTAATTGAAAAATGATATAAAAAACTGAGTAAAACAATATTCTAATGAACAACTCGACCAAACTATGCATATCCATCGTTAAACGACACATACACGCCAACGAAAAGCTCACTCATAGCGGACACCCATTGTTGACCGCTATGCGCAACTCGCACACTAAGATTATTCATACAATAACTTCCTCCATCAAACTTCGCTTTTACATGAGCTTACAACCAAGAGAAAGACCTCTCGATGTACTAGAAAATCCTAAGCTTCACCTACTCAAAAGACGGTCGATGATGGGCGAAAACCATCACCAAAATCAGAAATTTGTAATAAGTCCAACAGTGTGCACACAACTTCGAAAATTCACTCCAATCAAACCATAACTCCAAATTAATTTCCATCATATCCCATGACTCTACAACTCGTTAAACTGTCATTTCCCCATAATTTTACAGCTTAACAAATCCTATATTGAACCCAAAAATTCAAAGTTGACACATATCCGAATTTTATGCCCTAACTTCAACAATTTCTCCGATAGACAAATGATATGTTAGAATACTTACCCGGCGTTGCAAAATGGCATTGATTCGGCTTGTCGAGTTGTGCGAATCTTGAATGCCCAAAGATTCTCCCCTCTTTCCTCCTTTTCTTTTTCACAAGTGTGCGTCCTCTTCTTTTCTTGTTATTTCCGTTGATTCATCGCTTCAACGTGACTAATCTAGAGAAGGAAAAATGAAGATAGGCTGAGCTTTGAGAACGTTGTCAGGGCTTGGGTTAATTGGGCCATTAATGTGGACATCGTGCCATATCGAGGAGGAGGTGCTAGGGACCCATTGTCCTATCCTCTTGGTCCGATTACTCGAGCGAGGGCGAAGCAATTCAAGCAAACTATTGGCATCATGGTTCGAGATCTTTGGAGTGGAAGCGATCTTGGATCGGGATTTGAAGAATCTTAGACCTCTTGGTGCAACACGATCAAATTTGGTCAGCTGCAAGGAAACGGGCTGCTGATCAATACTCACTGCTAATGCCGTGACGAATGTCGTTTTTTTCGCTTTTCGGAGTAGTTTTGATGGGTTTTGATTAATTAGGCATTTTTTTTTATTAATTCTAGTGGCGTTTTCGTAATTTTTGCATTTAGGGTTAACACCATATAAAAAGAATGTTTAGGGTTTCTTTGGGAGACATTATCAGTCATCTTAATACAACGAGAGGTTCTTCTCTTCTTGCAGTTCTGTGAGGACTTGACCTTATCAAGGCCTTCCTTGTGGCGGTCGATTCGACTAATCGAGCAGGATAGCGAATTCTCTTGTTCGTGGCATCTATAACGTCGATTGATTGACACAAGTTCGTCAACAGGTCACGTTTATACCGAGGTTACCAATCACAGGTTCGATTGGGGGTCAAGGTTTTTGCGATTCGCACTTTCCAGATCTTTGTAGAACGATCAACTTCCGCACAGATTCACTTCACCATCTATTACATATACACCTGCATTTGAAATTTGTAAAAGAAAATTTTTGTTGGCAACTTATTGAAGACTTATTGACCGTACATGTACAACTTACAATCAGTTTCTATTAGCATTCGATAGTGCTAAAATCAAGATGCCGTTGATACATTACTAAGGTTTAGATGATCCTCTAGCAAACCTCGTAACCACCTGACTGAATTCTCAAGTGATCGAATTGCCAAACCATTTACATTTGTCCTATTCATATGCCTAATCCAAATGAATACTGCCTGCTATTATCTAAAACTCTCTGGTGTATTCATCAAGTCTTGCTGTGTAGCATAAATCTATTAATCATCATGATACACCAAGACCTGAGTCTTGTAGGACATAAAGTGGGAGCAAAAGTGACGAAAGAAAAAAGAAATCAAAATTTATCAAGACAATATACCTCTTAAAATATGCCTAAAAAAAGCTTATTTCAAACCAAACCTAATCAACTACTCAATTAATTTCATGGCAATGACCAAACCAGCATGCTAATGAAGCACTTTGTGAGTCCCCCCAGGTAAAAGAGTTTTACCTACAATCATAAAAAAAAATTTATTAGGGGTTCCGTCAATTTCTCACATGAGTTTGGAGGGTATGCCCCCGCATATAAAGCGGTGAAAAAAGAAAAGGAAACCAACACTCGGACTTAGTTTGTTTCGCAAAAAAATGTGACGTTTCTG